TGTACTGAAAACCATGATTACAACTTATCAACAAAACAAGATATCTGAATCTAAAATCTAAACAGAGCCAAGGATCTCAACTTTCTGTGTAATTTACATTAAAAAATTTATTCTTTGTGTTGAAAGTATTGAGTTCAAATGAACCCGATAATGGTATGCTACATCTGCCTCTGTGTGGTCTGATCTGTCCCCTCCTTTGGTATATAGAAAATGAAAGGGAGAGAGAAAAGTATTAATTGGTATAGTTGAGTCAGTGAGACACAAGAGTTGTGGGTGATTTTCAAGGGTCAGTGGAATTACTGTCTTGTTTTAAAGTCAAATTGGCATAAGAACCATCGTTGTCTTCACTTGAAAGTCATAGTTATGTGGTATGATTTGTCTCATCCTTAAGTATATAGAAGGAAAATGAGCAAGAAAAATTATTACTCCCTCCGGAAACAACCTCTCTACCTAACAAGATAGAGGTAAGGTCTGTGTACACTCTACCCTCCCCGGACTCTATTTGTGGGACTATATACTAGGTTTATTGTTGTTTAAGGTGTCAAATTTGACCTAGAAATGTGTAATCCTCCGAACTCGCCCAAACTCTTAGTGTTGGATCATACGTATTTTCTTAATGAGTCAATTGGGTTGTTATCTGAATTGACCCATATTTTAAACTGATCAGCTAATAAACCCGTGAAATTCTTCAGTTGCACTCTGTTAGTGTCAAAGTATTGTCTAAGGGCCAAAGTTTCAGAATTCAGTTATTGAGATATGCTTCTTCTAACTGCCTTATGATCTAAGTGTTGGTCGAAGTCCAACATCGACTAAGACTAAAAGCACCATCTTCACGCCACCTTCCACCCAGCTTCCCATCCTATGTCTCACCTTCCACAAGTATTGACCCAAGCAGATGTTGAGTAACTTTGACTCAGTGTTGCTTCAATATCAATAACTATTGGGTGGGTTGACTTATGACCTGCAATTTAACGTATCTCAATCCAACCCATTTTGGCCCAAACAGATTTTAGGCGAGTTAGGTCATGACCGTCCATTGACTCAACTGTTTTGACCTGCCCAAATTTGACCAACTCACCCATTTGACACCATAAGAAGAACCAAGCCAATTTCCCTCAAGGAGAAGGTGAAATGATCGGGAACTACTGATGATAGAAAGCTTCCAAGGTCAACAGTTAATGCCAGATAGGACAGTATGGAAGGAACATAGGATAAGGATGACCTATTCACTATGAAATCTTGATATGATTTTTTGTCTCAAAATGAACAAGAATAAGTATGCCCATAAAAATTGATATGGAGAAACAAAACACCTTACAAAGTAGAATTTTTTCATGGCTAGTATAGGAGAGACTTGCTTAACCCTGCACAATCTACAAAGAAGTATAACTATATGGAATACATGATAATGTGTTAAGAAGTTAAGATGCAAAACACTTGCTTATCCATCACAGAATCACAAACCATGATGCATGTTCTTAAATTTTCTTGAAGTTACTGGTGCATGCCAGAATCTCCTAAAGATCCACTGCATTGTTTTTTTTAAAAAAAAATCAAGTAAAAGGCTTCTTTGGCAATAAACAAGGTCAACTTGACCATTTACAAGTGGTATACCAAAAAGAGGAAAAACCTACAAAAAATGGTTCTCTCCAAAAGACACCCAATCCTCTATATATAGAGAAACTACATGGGTGCACCTAAAGTAAATAAGGGATTGGAGCCTACTCCTCAAATGAGAAAAGCTCATCTCCACCCCTTCAAAATCTCTCCAAATTTCTCTTTTTCCAAATGGCCCTCATTAAAGCAAGAGGAGTAACATTCGAGGTCTTGTGCTTTCTTCTCCTAGCTCCACTCTTACAGCTGAACATCAACTCCTTCACGGATCTTGGCATCACCAAAGAAACGCTGAACCATTTAAAAATATCCTCCCATCTAAAAATCCAAACGGACTTTAACTTATACAATGTTTGATTTCATTATTAATATAACCTTTGTATAGTCAATACAACATTTGGTTTTCGGTATTGAACTCACATAAGTTATGTGAAACTTAATATGGAAAATCAAATACCATATCAATAAGGATTTAGTGGAATAATAGAGACTTGACAAGTGTCCTTAGCCATTGTTTTGGTACCATTGATAAGTTTGGCTATGGATAGTGATAAAGGAGTGGATTGATATGAAAAAAATTATCTACCAGATATGTGATCTAAGGTACATGAATCAGAAATCGAGTGAACAAAAGATGAAGTGTGAGTGAAGCATGCTGAGTTATCAGTACGTACGAAGGAGATGGTTGAAGACTTATTAGCTACCTTGAGTTTTAGGAACTTACTTTAATTAGTACCAAAAAGTATAATGGTTTTATTTCTTGATGGCTAGCGATGCGGCATGGAAACCTAAGTATATCCTAGCATATGGCGTTGACCTGTCCATTTCTACTGCTGTGTGTGATACATTGGTTCTCTTCAAAATGAAATCCTCCTCCAAGAATCTAATTCTTCAAAGAAGTAAACATTAGACGAACTACGGTTTCTTGGTTTCCATTGTTGTTTAGGAGTCAAATTTGGAGATTTTAATTTCAATTCAGGATGTCATGAAACCCTTGCAGGGAATGTAATTTGCTTATGTGGTGTGATGATTGAGCAGACAGGGGCGAATGATATGGTTGATGGTGCTATATGGACACATTGGAGATAGACACGTGCCACTAAGCTGAAGAGATTAGAGATATTGGATGCTACATTCATCTCGTTGAGGCAAAGTTTTGATTTGGTTGGTTGATCAATTTCCTATTAGGATTGATACAGTTTTGGAGAAAGTGAATGAATCACTTTCCAATCTTGCAAGAAAACATTTCCGGTGACTAAGCATTTAGACTCTGATGTTTTCCCTTGTTGGCTCTGATATCAGGTGAAATAAGGAGATGCAGAATCTGTTATTATTCTTAATTTTAAAACTCAATACAAAGTGTCTTCTTTATGGAGGACTTGGGAGTTGTTCGTCTGTTTTTTTTTCCTGATAACTGACAATTCCCTCCAGTGGTGCATGGTTCAAAATTCGGTAGATAATAGGTTTGGCCCTACCCTTCTCTACTTAAATATCGGGCTTTTGTCCATGGCAGGGTTGGAACCCCTACATGTGCCTAACCCACAGTCCCACACATCACGCACTGTGCTCTTTCCATTAGACCAAAGCTGTAAGAGTGTTGTTTGTCCATTTTAATTAGTTACTTTATTTACAAGGACTGTATTGTTCCAAAGTAATCTCCTAATTAACATACTAGATATTCTACACTACTCCCTTGAACAAATATAGATATTCTTGACAGTAGGCAAGGATCTAGTTCAGCTAGTGTCAAAATTGTATACAGTTAAATTGGCATAAAGGTTTCCTGAAGAGAGATCAATCTTTTAGGTGCCACCACCTGCTCTTTCTCTAGAGTATTCCTTGTGGAAGATCTCACAAATCTCAAGCATCTCATCCTTTTATCTTCAACTTCAGTTTCCCTTGGAACTCAAGTGACAAATTTCATTTCAGGAATGAACTGAGACCAGATATTGCAAGTCAGTTCTTTGTACAAGTTACTCTCATATCTGATTTCTTTTAGTCGAGATCATCCCATTGATGTTACACTGAGATGTTGTAATAGTCCGACTTTTTTGTTTCATAAGTCAAGATCATTTCATTGATATTGCTTGCACCTGGATGTTGTAAACAATAATTTGCGAAGTGATTCAGCGGAGTCGACCACCATTCTCTGTGAAGTCATTCCAATCATTCTATGAAGCTTATTATTATGTCTCACACAACTGACACTGGTTGTATGGAGCTTTTTATTTCAGGACATGTGGCTTTTGTGGGTCCCAATCCCAAACAAACAAACTCCCATTTTCTCTTATATCTCATTTTCGCCTTTTCCTTTATCTCTTTTTTACTTCCCAGACTTTGCTTGTTTTCACACTCCCAGTACCTTTCTTCTCGGACCTTTCTTTTTTGTCACACCTTCCTCTCTAACATCAATAACTCGGTGAGTTCAACCATAAAACTCTAAAGAAACTCACAAAGTAATGAATGAGAAACCTAAGAAGAAAAGGAGAATCACAGTATATTGCAGCAAAGTGTAAGAATTTGAAGAATCCAAAATAAAAAGAAAAAAAAACTTGGGTAAATCTGTAGGTTATATGCACCCAAGGGTGTGGCCTAGTGGTCAATGAAGTGGGTTTAAAACCATGAGGTCTCATGTTAAAATCCCAGCAGAGACAACACTAGGTGATTTCTTTCTATCTGTCTTAGCCTTGGTGGACTGGTACCTTCTGGTGGGAGGAGATCGATATCCCGTGGAATTAGTCGAGGTGCGTGAAAGCTGGCCTGGACACCACGGTTATCAAAAAAAAAACTGAGGTAAATCTGGAAGTTACTATTACATATTTGACAAAAAAAGGTGAATTTTGTTCTATTTTTGTTTCATCTTATGCTGGTTTCAATGATAGTTGCTAAAATTCGTTTTAGTAAAAACAATATAAGGCAACTCAAAGGGCATGAATATAATACTTAGTGGAAAGAGAAAAATGGAACATTCTAAATAGGGAAAAGGGTCATATTTGCCCTTGTACTCTTAGAAAAGGGATATATTCACCCTTCGTTATACTTTCTGGTTATATTTCCCCCTACCATCCAACTTTGGGTTCATATTTACCCTTTCAACTGTTAAGTTCCACATCACCCCTTTCATTATCCTACGTGGCACCTACATGGATATAATCTTCTCTAATTTAATTATTACACCTCACCCCCAATATTGTAACCACTTTACATAGAAATTGATTTTAAAAAGCATATGGTGATGCAAATTTGTACACAATACAATAATTATCTCCATTAGCTCTAAGTCTCTAACACTCGAAATATCAAAATTAAGCTACCACTAATAGCCTCTCAAGTATCTGTCTCAAAGGCCTCAAGCCGAAACTGCTTCCTTCTTTCTTGGAGCTGCTTCAGTACCTTCTGAAATTGGTCTTGAACTTGTGAGGGACGTTACGAATCATGCAGCCAATTGCAGTTATCTTTCTGCGAATTGCCTTCACACTCCAGTTGTATGTCCTTTTACGGGCAGCAGGGTAAGCACAAGCAGAGCAACGGCTCTTTTGGAGATGGAAACTCCATCTTCCACACCTCACACATAGTGTGTGGATCTTGTTCCTCCTCTTACCAAAGCTTCCTATTCCCTTCCCCATTACGCTGCAGTGCAGAAACCCTAGCAACCTCCTTTTGGGCGTTCTCAACTCGGGTTTATAATATTGGGGTGAGGTATAATAATTACATTAGAGAAAGATTATATCCATGTAGGTGCCATATAGAAGCGACGTAGGACAATAAAAGGGGTGATGTGGAACTTAACAGCTAAAAGGGTAAATATGAACCCAAAGTTGGATGGTAGGGGTAAATATAACCAAAAAGTATAATGAAGGGTAAATATAACCCTTTTCTAAGAGTACAAAGGAAAATATGACCCTTTTCTATTCTAAATAAATCCCTTAACAAGACTTTGCCATGAGATCTTTTTCTAGTTCTACTCATTTCACTTTTGGCATCTGGTAATTAAGAAATCATTGAAATATGCCAGAAAGAATATCAAACCCATTTTCTTGTAAGATTCTTGACAGTTGCATGAAGCTAAATAAGTTTCATCCATGATTTAATAATATTAAGTTAAATAATCAAAAAATAATGGAGATGAAAGATACAACAAAAAACTATGCCCTTTCAAGTATAAGAGGAGTTTGAGGGAAAAAGAACTTGGGTGTGTGAGGAGGAGGGACTGAACGTGGGAGTGGAAATAGTTGAAAGAGAAGGTTTGAAAAATAAATAGACGTATAAGAGAGGTGTTTGTTTGTGAGGTGTGATCGGGACCTACAAAAACACTTATCAACCATAAAAGATCCTCACAAAACAATGCCAGTTTTGTGAGGTATATCATGAAATTTCTCTCATCCTATACATAATGGTATTCTTTCTAGAAGTTAGTCATTAATCTTATGATCCCTCCATTCCCGTTTATGTGACCCTATTTCCTTTTAAGTTTGTTTTAAAAAGAATGATCCTTTTCTAAATCTGAAAACTACTAACTTGAACTTTCCATTTTACCCCTAAAGTTTTAGTCACACAAATGTGATGACATGCTTAAGACCATAAGTTTCTAATGTGATGGCCACACAAATATTATGAAATGTTAAAAGATGTTCCTTTCTTCTTAAACGTCATGCTTAGTCAAATAGAGTCACATAACATGAAACGGAGGGAGTTATAGGTTTTGAGCTCCTAGAAAGTATTTCTTGTATGACAACAAAAAATGAAAATGGAAGAGGTGAACTAATGTTGTAATCTAATTACACAAGGTATTTTTATTTTTTTTGGAAACTGGTAATGTGTATTCATCAGCATTCAGGGCTATGCTGGCCACCTCTAATAATTTACTAATTACACAAGGTATTTGTGTTGCAAAAAGTTGACAAGAGTAGATAATTATGGCCATATGTATGGAACTATATTAGTTTTTTAAAAAAAAGATTCACATGTCACAAAAAATGATCAGAGCTATATACAGGCATATTATTAGTTAATGCATTGGTTTTCATGACCCCATAGCGTTGGTTCAATGGTAAAGATACTATAGCATGGGATGTGGGGTCGATGCACATTGCGAATTCGAAACCTGCTTTGAATGAAGTGTGATATTTAAGTGGAGAAGAGTAGAGGAGCGAATCCAATATCCACCGAGTTCCAAAGTTGCAAACAATGATTTCTCGGTTATAAAAAAGCATTGGTTGTCATGTCATTGTCTCGTGTCCTACATCTTTGGGAAAATCTGTCTTCTTATGTTTGTATCTATGCTAGAAATGTGCATGCTTAATGTACAAAATAAGACCTTCTAGAGGGAAATGTCTTTGTTTTCTCAGCACAACTGATCGAAAAGTGGACTATGATCAGACTACATACAGTAAGGGGTCATTTGGTTGCTTGTTAGAATTATGCAGTTATTAATAATGTAGAGATTAGTTACCTAAAGTTTAGTTATTCATGTATTACAATCCATGTATTAGTTATTCCAATCTTCTACCCCACATAAACTAATATATAAATTTAGTCATAACTTATACATGTTTTATTTATGCAGGTTTGTAAAATGATAATCAAACACAGTTCTTGATTGCTGAATTTTATAAAAAGCAACTAAGAAACTACCAAACGTGATATTAATTATGTGAGTTTTAATACATGATTAACTTTCTTTCAAACCAGCAACTAAATAACCCCTAAGTAATTTACGGGCCAGAATACCTTAAGTTGGTGTCCCAACCTGCTAGTCAGAGGCTTTGAGCCTCTTTCCTTTTCTGCAACCATTAGTGCATGTGGAGGATTTGAGGACAAGGCAAGAAATTTTAAGCCATAAGCGCTTGTATCATGAAAACCAGGTATCAACCCAAAGACTAAAAGGGGCAAGCACAAAATTCCCTTCTTTTTTTTTACTATTCGGTGTGTATGTTGGTTCTTCCCTATTGATTATCTTTTAACTTTTTTAATGGTACAGACATGCTTCTATGGGGACGTAATTAACAATACACTCTGTGTGTGTGTGTGTGAGAGAGAGAAAGAGAATTTGAACTGAATCGAACCTTAATCTGTGTGTTAAGGCGAACTAGATTGAGCCATATCTTAAGGTATTTCTGCTTCTATTCAGGGCCAGGTGAAGCAGAAGCTATCTTCAGGTGGAAAATACGTATCAGTAAATATCGGACCCATTCAAGTTGTTTCCAGTGAGCAGGTAATATCCTTTGGTTTTTGCACCTTAAATTTGTCAATCCACTGTGCCATGATCCATTGTATGACATGATTGCCCTCGTCCAGGTTCAAGCTGTATACGAGGCCATGAAGAGAGATGTTAGGATGAAATACTTTCTGTAAACTACTTTCGTCACTACCTTTGTATATAATGGCAATACCTAAGAGAGTATGTCATTTTGTACTTTAGTTTAACCTTGTTTTCCTAATATATATACGTATATTCATTGAACTAAACATTCTTACATGATTTTTGGGAATACGTGGAGGGTTATTTATGTATTTTTCCTTTAATGCGAGTAAGAGGCCTTTAATGTGCTATTGGATGACACATCGGTAGCATACACCTCACCAGGCTTGAACTCCAGAGAGGTACCTAGGTGTTGGACGTGCACTTTGCATTGATATGGCGCGGGTAGATGTCCCTTTTGAATCACTGGGAAGTAGTCTTAGTAATACCAATTACCAACCTTTGCTATGTCTTTATAGATGCACTTTGTTTTGATTGTTTCTTCACTACTTTTTAACGTTTGCCATTTTTGGTTAATAAAAATTCTTTTCAAGGTGCTACATAATTGTGAAGTTTAGTTGATCCATCTAATCTGTCATGTCCATTTATTACAAGACAATCAAAAACAGAGGGATTGTCTGGGGGGAAGGGGGTACAGAGGAAAGTAGAGGAATGTGGAGTGAGGTGAGAAAAATATTTTAAATTTTACTTTTAAAAAATAATTTCCTTTTTTTTGGATTGTAATACTTTAATCTTTAACTTTTAACTAATATTAATAGTTTATTTAATTTTTGTCAAGGTGGAATATTTTATCCATGCAGCACTATGTGACAAGTATTTTTTAAAAATAAAAGAGAGTGTATTATACACATCAATAAAGTGTGTTTCTCAAACTAATGAGTGATAGTTTAGCTATGAAACTCATACTACCAGTATAAAACTAAAAAAAAAATAGTTTAGATGTATTTTTGACACTAAAAGGCATAAATTCCCCTCTAAACTTGTCAGTTACACACTTAAACTATTGTCACGACCTATGACACACTTGAATTACTTAAAAGTTAATTTATTTCAATCTTGACGCACATACATCCAGTCACATGATGAGAAACTGTTTCACACTCGTGCCACGTCATCACCATGTTACTGCCACATCAATAATTACGTCAGAATTTTTAAAAATAAATCACGTCACCCAATTTCTTCTTCTTCCCTATACACCATCAAAACCACCATCAAATCACTATCATTGTTTCTATTATCATCAATTCACTTCTCCACCACCAAAGATTTCACTGCCCATAATCAAATTCACCACCAGAATCTTCCCACAACCATTGTCATTATAAAAAATCGACAACAACCATCATAAATTTAAATAAATTCACTATCGGAACCGCATCACTGTCATTGAAATTTATCATAACCATAAATTCAACATCCACATCAAAATCACGAGTTTCATTGTCATTATTGAAATTAAAAATCATACCACCACTAATTTTTCACCCATTACCAAACCCACCAAATTTTCTTATCACAATTACAAATTTCATTCAAGCTCAAAGAGGAGAATTGTGAAAACTTGCAATGTTTATTTGCAAAGATTTTAGTCAGGCAATTGAAAATCAAGTGCTCGATTTACCTCTAGAGAGGATTTTTCTGAGAGAAGAAAGATCTATGAACATACATTAAAAATTTGAATTTTGTGCAAGAATCCAAAAACTTTTTATACAAAATAAAAGGCAAGATTTGAAAATTTTCTTATTTCAAATGCTCACAATCAACAAAAAAAAACACAAAAATAAATTGAATAATCCGTGCTGACTTGATGAATTTGATGTGGAAATAGTAAGGATTGACCAATTTTAGATGTCTCGCCGGAAAATATTTTGAGCAGTGAACCTAATTAATTGAACAACTTCGCGATTTTTGCGATGGATTTCTATCCCGCAATATTATTTTATAATTTTATCTTGAAAATTTATCATGAAAAAAATATTTTTCTTATTAGCCATAGGAAAAAGAGTGTTTGTGATAAGAAAAAAATTGCCTTTTTTCTAACTCAAACGCGCCTTATTTATTTTTTATTTAATTTTATTTCCATGTCCACTTTGAGGGTGGTATTAAATTCACTTTTGAGTAGTATAAATGTGTAATAGGTCGCCTCAATAATTTAAGTGTGTAACTGACTTTTCGATACAACTTTAGGGGTGAATTTATGCCTTTTCCCTGAATATAATTATATTCACTGGCAAATTGACAAAATAATTATATCTATTTTGTATCAAAAAATGTATTTTATATATATACACAAAATATATATATTTATTGACTATGTTTCTTCAAACCCCAATCCGCTTTTGCTCGCCGTCACTGACGGGGTCTCG